TATCATGTTCAGCCTTCATTTGGGTTTCAGTAATTCCTCTTAGTTACATTGCCCTTGATCAATCCCTACCAGGACTCCTACACTGTCCTCAAAGATTTTAGATCACTTATGGTCCCTTGCCCCTGGGCTTGTTAACAGCCACTTCCTTTCCCCTGCCTCCCCTCAGCCATGTCCCCCCAGAACCATTGGGCCATTGTTTTCTCCTCCAGATTGTTTATCCCACCTGTCTTATCTAGGTAGACAGAGCATGCAGGATTTAACACACCATGAAGAAAAAAGACCAAGCAAGGAGGAAGTAACGCACCTAAGAAATGAACTAGGGGGCAGAAAGAACTAGGAGAACTGACTCTTCAACTAACCAATCAATGAAATATATACATGTAGAGATTCTGAACAATTTAAAGAAAATAATGCCACAATTATTTGAACTTTAACAAATACTCTTCAAATAACACTGGTGTCATCCCTGACCAAGTAAAATTATGGTCAACTGATTTAAGTTAAGGTTTCAGTACCAATAAAACTTTTTTTTTTTTTTAAACTATACTTACCACAATCCATTCAGCAATGTTTTCATAGAGCTCTGGGCTAAAAATTGCTTTCTTAAGCCTAGCTAGAGGTCCATCAGCATCTACCAACCGACACCGCATGAAAACATCACAGTAGCCTCTGAAATCGTTGCAAGGGGAGCCAGGCTGCAGGGTGATGGTTTGACCACGGAAATACTTATTCCACTGCGTAGACCCCGTGCTGGCGCAAGTTGCTGGCTCCACTGGAAAAGAAGTGGCAGACATAAGTGGATGATGGACTTACTAAAAAGACAGGTGGGATGGAGAACCTGTGGAGGGAGTGGGGAAAGTTTCTAAAACCATTACTCTGATGTCTTTCTTACTGGTTAGGATGGATAACACCATTAGCAACTCACCTTAAAAACATTACAAGATAAACCTTCTTCTACTCATGACTTAAGTGTCCATAACGGCTTTAAAACCGTGTTTATATAAAATATTACCATAAAGTGGGCAGTGTGTGTGTGTGTGTGTGTGTGTGTGTGTGTGTGTGTGTGTGTACCAAGACTGCCATTTTAAAAGCATTGTAAGGCCCACAACACTAGGCGTGCTACATTTTAAAATTTCTTATGAGGACAATCTTTGCTGAAAATTATCTGTCCAAACGGTGTGTCAAAGCTTAACATAGGAGCAAATAATAGTTTTGAAAGTAGATGTTATATTCCTGTATTGTCAAAGCCTTACTTTTCTTCATACAGCAAACGTGACATAATTCCTTATCATCTTTGCCATCAGAACTGGCACAGGTGCACTCCTCCAAGCCATACTTCTCACAGATAGAGCCTGCACATTGCTGGGAGGAAAGAGAAAGACAAGACATCTCATTCTGCAGTCAAACCTATTATTTATACTTATAGATTGGCAGGGCCAAGCTCCCAAGAGCAAAATAATTAAGTAGGAATACAAGTTCTATTTAAATGACAAGATTTCCCTATAGAGCATGAATCCACATTAGAAATGGATCAAATACACACATGGAAAAGAGTAAGAAAGATAATAAATTTTGGGTGGTTAGCAGTCTACTGCACAGCACCCTGCGGCTCCTTAAAATTTTTAAATAAATGGCACTTTACAAGAAAAGCTAAATAAAACAAAGGCAGAGAAAGATTAAATAAATATCCATTTTATGTTGCTTATATGACTCCTTTTTAAGAAGAAGATAAAAGTTTGCTCATATAGAAGAAAGTGAAATTCAACACGGAAAGCTTGAAAGGCTTTGGACTGAAGAGAAAATGACCAGAAGAGTTCTTTCATCCAGGCTATGAAACAAATGCAACTTGAAAGCAGTGAGGACAAAGTCACATGCCTGGCTGCACACGTCTGCTTTTCCGAGAATATCCAACACAAGTAGGTGGGCAGGTGAAAGACCTGACGGCACTTATTCAAACGCCACTTGCCACTAACGCCACCTAAAGCCTGCATGGCTTTGCAAGGAGCCAAAAGGGAACTTTACTGAAGCAGAGATCAAGATGAATTATTGTAACTATGTAGCTTTAAGTGAAAGCAATCATTCTGAAAGAATAGGTCTTATAAAATTAAGTAAAGAGTGCATAAAATGAAATTGCTTACCCCATTAATGCACACTTGCGTCTGCCTGTTGCAGTCTGTGAAGTTCGGCTTAGGGTCCGACGCGGGGCAGAGGGCTGTGATACCATTACACATCCCTTCTTTGGCACAGTCTGAATCATCCCGACACTTCTCATACTTCGACTTGAACGCACACTGTGATGTACAACAGGGACCTTGACTGGGGCTGGAAGAACCATGGAGTGATGAAACCACGTCAATTACATGGATGTCGTCTCTGTGTACTTTGTGAGTGCTATGTTTAAATCCCAAGTCTCGTCTTTTAAATGAGAAGTGCATTACTGGTATATTACTTCAAACATTGGAATAAGAGGCTACTAAATATAACCACTCTAAAAAGTGCTACAAAAATGAATAAAGGGGAAAAATGAGGAGCTGATCCCAAGGGCTCAAGTAGAAAGCAAATGTTTTGAATATGATGCTGTCAACAAATGTACAAATGTGCTTGACACAATGGATGGACGGATGGATTGTGATAAGAGCTGTATGAGCCCCCAATACAATGATTTAATAAATTAAAATTTTAAAAAATGAACAAGGGTCGTATTTTTATCATCAAAATGTACTATCTATATTCAGAACTCTTTGCCTTTACTGAAAGGCTATCATGGAAAATGGGTTTGATATTAGCCAAGTTATCAAGGTTGTTTGGTTACAACAGGGGTTCTCAAACTACAGCCCACTGAGGACATTTGGGCGGCCCCCCTCCCCCAGTGTTTTTGCCCCGTTTGTCTTATTACTTCAAAATAAGACATGTGCAGTGTGCATAGGAATTTGTTCATAGTTTTTTTAAAACTATAGTCTGGCCCTCCAACGGGTCTGAGGGACAGTGAACTGACCCCCTGTTTAAAAGGTTTGAGGACCCCTGCCTCAGTCATTGTATCTGCTCTTCTCATTTTACATACTAAAATCAAACAAGTATCCACACACCACACATCAAAAGTATATAAACAATGTCCAATGTCCTATCATATCTATGAACAATCAGAGTGATTTTGTAAACTAAATGTACACTACGAGGCTACAAAAGTATAGATGCATTATATTGCCTAAGCATGTTAAGTTATTCCCCACAAATGTGAAAAGCAGGCGGCAGTTTGCGAGTCAGAAGCCAAAGGTGTCTTCTACCGCGCACCCTTTGACGCCCACACAAATTAGACTTACAAAGAGTTCAGTCTGCTAACAACAGTGTGCTAACCAACCTGAGAAAGAAATAAAACAAATAAAGACAATTTCAAAACTATATGCACCTCTCAGTCTCTATGTTACCCCTGCTACCCCTGTTTCGGGTGACTTTATAGGACATCGACATTGCCGGCATTATCAAGGTACCTGCACTGTTTCCCGGGTTTCAGCTTGCATTTTTTCCCCTCTGGTTGGTTTGCATCATAGCAGCAGTCATCTTTACACTGGTCACTGTAGCCACAATCACACTGCTCACCTTGTTCTACCATTCCATTTCCACAGATGGGCAGGCCAGATTCTAAGGAAAACAACACAAGCAAGCTAACCACTACACGTGCACATTTATTTTTATTTAATAGACTCTTTAGCTAATAAACTCTTTGGAGGATCCTAACACAGGGAGGGAAGACTCAGGCTGTGGAATCAAGAGACCTGATATTAAGAGCGTCTCTGCTACTAACCAGCCATGTAACTTCCATTAAATTCCCCAAGTGGGGACTCAGTTTCTTAATCTGCATAATGGAGGGTGTTGACTGGGTAGCCCCTTCAAGGTTCTGCTACAAGTAGTCACATCCCACTGAGGCCAAGCCACATGGAACGTCACTGAACTAGGGCTGATTATTTACATCACAGACATCACTACTGACATCACAGACAAATACAGTGTTTTACCACCCAGGGGCGGAGGTGGGATTAAGTCATCTTTACTACAAAATATTTCAGACATACATAAAAGGAGCAAATGAACAGTACAACAAATTCCCATGTACATATCATTTAGCTTAGCTAGTTATCAACAAGATGCTGCTCTTGATTTGCCCCCACATTTTTTCCTGAAGCATTTTAAAATGAGTCCCTGATAATACATATTAACCCTGTCAAAACTTCAGATGTCTCTGAAATATAAGGAGTATTTTTTCTTTTTTAAACTTAACCATATACAAACACATCTCCAAAATTAACAATGTGTTTAAATACCACCTAATGCCCAGGCCATGTTCAATTTTCCCATGTCTCTTTACAATCAATTGACTCAGATCAAGTTGCAAACACGGTTCCCCCCAACTGCATACCCTACCATTGCTTCTGATTGACATATCGCTTCAGTTCTAAATTTTAAAAGAACATTCTCTCTTTTTTAAATGTTCATACCAATCATTGTTAATAAGCTGAATAATTTTTCCCTGTTACTTCCCACATTCCATTTGGCTGTTGTATAATAGTAAGTACTGTGTGTGTGTGTGTGTGTGTGTATGAGATTAGTTTTGTTCCTCAGCTAAACCAAGTTCCTTAACGAAAGAAGCAGGTGCTATTTGTATCTTTTGTATTCCCACAGAGGCAAATTATGAGTGGGCACAATTTGTGTTGATTAAGGTTAGATCTTCTAGTCTTAATCAAAAACGTTAGTATATGCAAGGAACTTTAAGAACCCAAACGCCTTTTTCGTTTTACAGAAAAGAAACATTTCTAGATATTTAATACAGTAACAAGGGTTCTTAGGGGAGAGGGTTGGGACAAAGGGCAGCTGATACCAAAAAAGCAAGATGAAAGAAAATGTTTTGAAAATGATGGCAACAATTGTATAATCATGCTTGATCTAATTAAACTGTGGATTGTTATATTATCTGCAGGAGCTCCCAATAAAATGGAAAAAAGAAAGAAAGAAAAATTTCTAGAGAGTTTGAATTGCCAAAGACCAAATAAATATCACAGTCCAGGCATTTAGGGGGACTAAACCCATGGTCTCCTAGGTCAATCTGGTGTTCTTCTCCCCCATTACGTTAAATCAAAAAGGAGATTGAGGACATCAGCCAGAGTGCAGGAACCGTACACGAGGCATATCTAAATCAAAACAATCCAGAAAGACTGGCATTGTATTCAGAAAGTTCATTCCTATCTTTAACCACATCACCTAATAAAGCAAGTCTTGGAAGTCCCATATTTCTTTCTAGGTTTCAATGATCATTCTTGTTCTCTAAAACTAGAAGCATGTATGTACAAATATATACACACACAAGTGAATAATAATGATTTGCAAAATCTAGCAATAAATCACTTTATGATTACATGACACAGAATTTAGGAGAAAGATAAAAATGGTAGAGCCAGACAACCTTTGATATAATAACTTCTATACTTTTTCATCTCACAGAGAATTATTACTTTAAGCCAACTATTTGCTAATAAATAGTTTAAAAACAGAAAAATACCATTTACATACATATATCGTTATAATTTAAGAAACAAGGGGGTAAAAATGAGCTCAGGGGCTCAAGTAGAAAGAAAATGTTTGAGAATGATGATTGCAACAAATGTACAAATGTGCTTGACACAATGGATGGATGTATGGATTGCGATAAGAGTTGTATGAGCCACCAATAAAATGATTTTTTAAAAAAAAGAAACAAATTTCTTTCCCATGATACCTACAAAGGAAATATGCTCATTTTATAATTCAACTTTAAGCATAAAGTTTATTGTACAAATGCAATTTACAAATGAAGAATCTATGTAGTACTTCTAGGTTAAAAAATTTTAGAAAAATTACCACTGATTATAATATAACAATAGCATCTATGTAATTTTGACCTGCCTCAATGAAAAAATGGTTTCAAAGAAAAACCAATCTATAAAAGGGTAACTAATCAATTGGACATCATAAAAATTTTTAACTTTTACTCTAGGAAAGACTGAGGAGAAAGAAAAGATAAGCTATTGACCGGGCAAAAATATTTATAAGCTAATATCTGACAAAAGACTAGTACCTAGAATACATAAAGAACGTTAAAAGCACAACAGGAGAAAGAGCAAGTGATTCAATTAGAAATGACCAGAGAACATGAACGGACATTGCACTAAAATATGGACAGGTGACTAAAGAGCTCTACACCTTACTCTAATCCAATCCGACTCACTCCACTCCAGCCATACTGACCAGCTTACTATCCCTCAACATACAAAATACACTACCACTTCAGGGTTTTTTTGCCCTAAATGTCCTGGTTACTTGGAAGGCTGTATCCCCAGATAGCCACAAAATGTAATCCATGAAGTCTGGCTGTAAGTAATTTTCTCAGTAAGTCCTATCTGAAAAATATTCTATTTCAAGCTGTGACGCCTCTCTCTTGCTTGTTTTCCTTTTATCATTACCTCGTCAACTATATGAGGGGAACCCGAAAATAGCTCTGCTGGGCTGTGCTTTCGTAGTGTGCATTTTCCCTGCTCAGAGAGCATCTCTCGAGCAACTCACTCGGAGTTCGTGTACTCAGTGGCATCACCTGAGAAGGTTCTCTCTGGTCACAATGAATGTTTTTGCAAAAGCAGTTTCACTCAAACCCTCCTTTTTGGTGATGGCCAATTTAAGAGAACAGCGTGTGGCTTTTAAATTTTGTTTCCTGCTCGGGAAAAATGCCACAGAAACTGTTGTGATGTTGAACACAGCTTACAAGGGCAGTGCTATGGGAAGAACTCAAGTGATGAGTGGTTTTCTTGTTTCCATAAGTTAAAATGTAGATTGATGACAAACCTAATCCTGGATATCCTTCAACTTCCTAAAGAGAACAAAAAATGTTGACTCATAGTTAAGGTGACCAGACGTCCCGCTTTTGGGCGTTTAAAAAAAGTCCCAATTTTTGGAAAGAATGCACGACAAACTAGGGAACGGTCTATTTGGTCCATATAGACCAAATTTTTTATCAAGAACACCCCACCCACACCCACCCCCGGTCAATGGTATCCCACTTTAAATCTGGTCACCTTACTCATAGTGCATTTGGAGTTGGTTCTACCAGGTCAGACTGTTGATCAAGCTTTCTAGTTAGAGGTTCTGAAAAGATTAGGTAACAGTGTGCAATAAAAAAGACCTGATTTGTGGCAGATGGGAAACTGGTTTTGCCACCACGACAATGCACCTGCTCACGCAGCCATCTCAGTGTGCCAGTTTTTGGCAAAAAACAGCATGCGTATCTTGCCCCATGCCCCTTAACTGACTTCACTCCATGCATCTTTTTTTTTGTTTCCATAAATGAAGAGGGAGATGAAAGGTCAGTGATTTGAAAATTTAGAAGAGGTGAAGAAAAAACTAGGGAGGTGCTGCCAGCCTTCTAAACAGATGAGTTTGAAAAATGTTTCCAAGAATGGAATCGCAGATTTGACAAATTATTAAGTGTAATGGAGAGGACTTTGAAGGTGATGAGGTTGTTTTGTAAAAAAAAAAAAAAAAAAAAAAAAACAGAGACAAGGTTGTGAGGGGGGGGGGGGGGGGGTGTCCTGGGGTTTTTCTGGGTACCCCTCATATAATTGCATGTCTTCACCTAATCTACTGTATACTTTAAATATTGATTACCTGTTGAGTCCTACTAGAATATAAACTCATACCAGGTTCAGAATTTTGTTTTGTTCACTAACATAATTCTCTCTGTCTAGAACAGTGGCTATCACAAATAAGGCATATAATAAGTATTATATTAGTTCATGATTTGAAGGTAGAAAACAAAATTACCATTAAATGCCACCAATAAATTAATTTTAATAAATCTCGAACAGTTAGGAAGAGCACAATTATACATGCATCCAAATAGTTTTGGAGGGAGGGGTTTGTTTCATCTGTTGTTTTGCCATATTGTAAAACGCTCATATTGATTAGCTAAATGATTTACCTCAAAGAACATGAAGCTAAAAGTATTCTATGGCCCAAAAAACTTTTTTTAGGAATAGTATCTTAAAGTTCTTCTGTCTTGAGACGGTGATTATTCTACCTCCTATTTTTCTGTTTAAAGTTTTCTCTTCTTTTGATTACAGTCCAACCAAGTTATTTTAAATCTTCACAAACTATCCATCAGTGACCAGAATATGAAATTGTTAACTTTTGATTCATAGATGATTAAAAGATATTATCTCATTTTTAACCTGAACTTCTTTATGAAATCTCAAACACAGTTGTTAAACAACAATTTCATGAAGAAGACATCCAGAAGTGTTCCTGATGCAAATAAATTTAAAAAGGAAAATCTCCAAATTAGTAAAGATTTTCAAGTTACTTCTAAGATTATGGTAATTTCAAATTAAGACTACTGTATCAATATAACAAAAAAAAAACCAAATAATTTTATGTGAAGAGAAAGACTATAGAGATCTCAAATGTTAATGTTAAAAAGTTATCAGAAAAATATTCTTTGTTGGCAAATAAATTACGTATTTATTACAGTCAATGTCCTTCTCTTACTACAAACTTATATTGGCCCATAAATAAATTCACTTTTAATAACTAATATGTAAAATTTTGAAAGAGAAGCACACACATATAGTCACTTTCCTCCTAGGCCCTGCCAAAAAAACTAAAGAAGGACGCCAAGCCCTGAGGAGAACAAGAACGCATCTCAAGCATTCTGTGTCTAAGCTGTACGAGAAAGAGCAAAGCTGATGGGGACAGAATCCACACGCGGAACTTTGAGGCGCATGCTTACTTGGGAATTAATTCTAGCCTAAGAATTTATTTGATAATTTATTTAAAAGACATTAATGGGGTGCTGGAATCTTTTAATCATGATGTATGGCAGTTAGATTGTATGTCAACTTACACCTGTGTGGGGGTGGAGTCCAGCCTATTAATCAGGTCACAGCCTGATGACACCCTCCTTGGGAGTGTGGCCTTTTTAAAGGAGAGACACTGTGAACTTCTCTCTCTCTCTCTCTCTCTCTCTCTCTCTCTGGCTCTTCCTAGAAAGTTGCCAGATGTCCTGTCATGTTTCTACCAACCCTGGATCCACACAACCCTGTACTCACTTGGCCTGTGATCTCTCTGCGTCAGCTTTACCTTTCCGCACCATCTCCCTGCAGCTGGAAGCATCATACCCATGGACCTCAGTTAGACTGGGCTGGGATGCCTTCTTGATATAAAATTACTTCTTGTTATAAAGTTTTTCTTATACATTTGTGAGTATCACTGGTTTTGTTTCTCTAGACAACCAGCCCAATTCATGATTAAAATATAAACTGTTAGCTATCTTTGATATTTGCTAAAATGGCTTTGAAAACTATATAAGGGGGCTTCATTAAGTTCGTGGGCAAATTCCACTCTTTAATTTTACTTTTTTTGAAACCCCCTTGTATGTCACAGCCACCAGAATCGTGAATATTAAAAAGCAATAGAAATCAAAAGTTGTCAAGGAGCTGGAGCAACCAGAACTCTCAACTTTGATGAAAGTATAAAATGAAATAACCATTTTAGTAAAAAGTATATCAGGTGCTTTAAAAATTAAACAAATTCCTACCCTATGTCACAGTAATTTTACACCTTGTGAATACCTACATATTTGTCCCAAAGAAATAAAAATATATGTCAACAAAGAAACTAATACATGAACTTTCTAACAACTTTTTTATATTAGTACAAATCCAAAAGGCCCAGGTGTTCCTTCAATAAGAATGGAGGAGTGACGGTGAATATACATACTGCAGCACTACTCAGAATTAAAGAGAATATTGATAAATGAATATCAAAATATACTGAGTGGAAAGCTGTCCATGAAAGGGTACGTATTGTATGATTCCATTTATAAACAGTTTTAAGACAGGCAAAATTTAATCCATGGTAAAATAAATCACAACCGTTGCTTCTAGTGTTGAGCCGGGGAAGAGACTGATAGGAAAGAGGGATGAAGGAGCTTTCATGTTACAGAATGTGCTATACTGAGAGGTGTTTGGGTTACAAAAGGGAATGCATCTGTCTACGGTCATTGAACGATGCACTTACTAAAAACAACAAAGCACTGCAAACTGTAGGTTAATGAGGCTTAGGTGTCTAGGGATGAAGCACACTCATGTCTGATGCAAACACTTTAAATCTAACAAACAAACATCAACTGAGGGGTGGATGATAAATATGTCATAAAGCAAAGTATTGACCATGGTCGATCTGGAGGGTGGGTATAACTCTTCCAAGTTTTCCAAGTGCTTGGAAAAGCTCATAATAAAATACTGGAAAATATACATACCAACAAAACAGTTGTTTCTCTTCTTCTCAAGAACCTGGCTTATATTTCGAATACTACAGAGTGAGAATTTGTTGTTGTTGAGCTTGTCCCCAGATGTGGCTCTTGCATACATGATGTAATTGCCATTTTCTTTCTGTCCTAAATTTTTAGATTCTCCTGGAGTGCACTCTGTTCCAGAATCATGCTGTCAAACAGAGTATTGAGAGTTACATAAATAGGAAAGAAAAAAAAAACAACCAGGTCATTTGATTCCATGTATTTCCTCATCGGAGTACAATGGACACTTGAGGACTCTCCTTTTCTTTAGAAAGGATCTTAAAAGGGGGGTAACCTGAGGGGGGGAGCCAGTCAGGGTGCAGTGTAGCAACGATGAAACATACAACTTTTCTCTAGTTCCTAAATGCTTCCTCCCCAACCCCCACTATCATGATCCCAATTCTACCTTATAAATCTGGCTAGACCAGAGGATGTACACCGGTACAGATAGGAACTGGAAACACAGGGAATCCAGGGCGGATGATCCCTTCAAGACCAGTGGTGAGTGGCGGTACTGGGAGGGTGGAGGGAAGGTGGAGTAGAAAGGGGGAACTGATTACAGGGATCTACATATAGCCTCCTCCCTGGGGGATGGACAACAGAAAAGTGGGTGAAGGGAGACGTCGGACAGTGTAAGATATGACAAAATAATAATTTATAAATTGTCAAGGGTTCAGGATAGAGGGGGGAGCAGGGAGGGAAGGAAGGAGCTGATGCCAGGGGCTTAAGTGGAGAGCAAAGGTTTTGAGAATGATGAAGGCAACGAATATACAAATGTGCTTTACACGATTGATGGATGGATGGATGGTTTAAGAGTTGTATGAGCTCCCAATAAAACGATTGTTTTTTAAAAGATCTTACAATTGTTTTAGATGGTATGTAGTAAACAATTAGCTCTTCTAGAGGCCAGTGTCTTAGCAAAGGTGGGAAAGGACTGGAGGTCCAGTCACAGCACTGAGGGGAGGGGGAGTGTATGTGTGTCCAGTTTTGAAACATGAAAAATAGAGGGCAAGCTGTCCAAATGCTATTAAAAGTAAGCAATCCACTTTTAAAACCAGTAATGGGAGAAAATTTACTAAAAAACTAAATAAAAGTTATAGATCATGACTAGTTCAAAGACAGAGATGGGGATATAAGTGAAAGGCAAGAAGCAAGAGGCAACGCACTGATCTTTTTAAAATAAACCTGCTTTCAGGCCAAGAGATAAAACCAAAAGACTGCTTGCAGAATACAACAGACAGTTCTGTGAGCATGAGTGGGTTGGTTTTGGTTTTTTGTCGTTGGTGTTATTGTTGGGGTTTTCTTTTGGGAGGGAAGGAGTTTACTTTGAAGGAGTTTACATATTATACTATAGTTGTGTTTTGTAATTTGGGTAGGGTTTTCTCAAAGTAAAAACATTAAGTGGCCAGCACAAGACAGACACTATCAGATTCCAGGCGCTATTTTCTCCGGTAGGGGTGCTTGTTTTACAAAGCAACTTCCCAAAGCTGCTCCTGAAACCACAAGCCAGGCAATGTCAGCAGGAGGTGGGGGGTGGGGGGGATGAGAGACATTGAATTGAATTCTAGAGTAAGAGTCCTACCACCTTTTCTCTTCCTCAATCTGGGGCAACTCCTGAAAAAACAAAGATGGCCTCTACCATGACCTTTACACTTCCTGATACCACTGCCTTTTTCCTGAGCCTACATTCAGCATTGAACAACTCTAGTCGCTGGCGCATAGCGACTCTTTATGAGTCGATATCAACTTGATGACAGGGAGTTTGTTTAGATATTAGTCTCCCAAATTAGCCCTTTCTGGTTTCACTCTGAGGAGCCTGGCAGAACAGTGGTCACAAATTGGGCGGCTAACAACAAGGTCAACCGCTTGAAAGCAGGAGTCACCCTTTGGGGAACAGACGGGCTTTCTACTTCCATGAAGAGTCCCGGGCTCAGGGTCTCACAGGGGCAGTTCGACCTGCCCCATAGCGTGCTGTAAGTTGGCATCATCTCAATGGCAGGGAGTTTTTTATTTACCTATATACTCGTGTATAAGCCGAGTTTTTCAGCACAATTTTCATGCAGTTTTTGTGGTAAAACTAGGTGCCTTGGCTAATGTTTGGGTCGGCTTATAATCAAATATATACAGTGACTGTGTCACTCTATAAAATTCAATTCAGTTAATGGTCACATAGGGTGCTAGAATCATTTTCTGTATTCAAATTTCACAAGAAAAAAAATACCCGGCAATACTGTAAAAGTTTTATGTATATATTTCAAGTCACACACTATCTTACCATCTTCCCATGCATGCCAATAAATGTTAATAAAAAAGCAATCCAAAAAGTAGTCCTACAAGGGATCCAGTCCACACATGCACATATTTATTCCAAACATGTGTTTACACGTGTCTCTGTGATCAGTGGATCGCTGTTGAGTTAGTTAATTGTGCCAACCTGGCGGATAATCACATGTGGGCTAATTGAAAGGCGGAGGGATAAATGGGTAGTGAGCCTTGCCTTTCTAGTTCTCGGGTCTCTTGCTTTGTGATGGTCGCACCAGGGTGCAGCTGCCTTAGCAGCTCCCTGCTTCAGCTTGCAAGATTGACTTCCTACAAGACATCCCCAAGGAGAAGCCACATGGACCTATCCCGATGCAGCCCTG